ATTCCTCAAGCTGTTCGCAAACAAGTTTCTGACTAGATTAAACGTCTTGAGGAGGCTGGAGTAATCGAACGCATTAATGCCTCCGAATGGGTGTCACCGATAGTAGTCGTCCAGAAGAAAGACGGCAGTATTCGCATGTGTGTTGACCTTCGTGAAGCGAACAAAGCGGCCGTAATCGACAGCTACCCGCTTCCACACATTGAAGAGTTGCTGAACGCCTTACATGGAGCGCAGCGTTTTTCCAAATTAGATCTCGCTGCCGCATACCATCAAGTCCCATTGCACCCCGACAGTCGGGATTTGACAGCGTTTATTACGCATGAAAGACTGTTTCGCTTTAAGCGAGTGTGTTTTGGATTAGCCTCAGCGCCAGCCACATTTCAGCAGATGATGGCGAAGGTATTACAGGGCTGCAAAGGGGTGCTTTTCTACCTCGATGATGTGGTTGTCTAAGGTAAGAACCAGCAGGAGCACCTGGAACGCCTGCAAGAAGTGCTCGTGCGCATATCTGAGGCTGGTATGAAACTCAACAACAAATGCGTGTTTGACGTAGGAGAAATTTCTTCCTTGGGGCACAAAGTTAGTGCTGCGGGGATTTCGCCCCTACAAAACAAAGTCGACGCTATTCGTGCGGCACCCATCCCCACAGACCTAAAGCAGCTGCGGTCATTCCTAGGAATGGTTGAATATTATTCCCGCTTTGTACCACGCCTGGCTTCTGAAGTGGAACCGCTGCGAAAGTACTTGAGGAAGGACACCCCGTTCATCTGGGACCAGGCAGCAGATCGAAGTTTCAATCGGGTGAAAACGCTGCTGTCCTCTGCACAAACGCTAAAGATGTTTGACTCAGAGCTGCCTATCGTCGGAGCTACGGGTGCTTCAGCTTATGGAATTGGAGCAGTGTTGCAGCAGCTTCACGGACAAGACATTCACCCAATTGCTTTCGCGTCACGAACACTGACTGCCACAGAAAGGAAGTACTCTTCAGGTGAACGAGAGGCGCTTGCGTGTCTGTGGGCCTGTGAAAAATGGCACACATATCTCTGGGGCCGCCAATTCACTCTGCGCACAGACCATCAAGCTCTCGTCGCTCTTCTGGCCACAAGAGGAACCGGACATTGCCCACTCCGTATCACTCGGTGGTCGACCCGGTTGCTCAAGTACAACTTTCAAGTACAGTACCAGCGTGGCGCAGAGAATCAAGTAGCGGACGCTCTCTCCAGACTTCCGGTAGCGGAAGATGAGAGAGGGACAGCATTTGACGAGGAGATTGTGTCTTTTACCGCTCTGAACGATGAATGCATATCAAAAGCTCAACTCCAACAGGAAACGGCGGATGACCCCCAGCTGACTGTAGTGATGTCTTATGTCATGTCGGAATGGCCTCCATCTAGGGCGTTGTCTTCCGACGAAGCCATCTTCCACGCCACTAAAGAGGCAGTCTCTGTGCACGACGATCTTCTGCTGCGCGGTGAACAGTTCGTCGTTCCTACTAGTATGAGAAACGCTCTCATCGGCCGAGCACACGAGGGACACCCTCGCATCGTCAGGACGCGGACTCGCCTTCGCGAACTATATTGGTGGCCCCGCATGAATGCGGAGGTGAAAATGGCAGTCCAAGCCTGCGGTGTTTGTAGCTCGGCTGACAAGAGTGCAAAGACATCGCCAACACCCTTGCAACCCGTGCCCTTGCCAGAGCGACCATGGTCAAATCTCGGCATCGACATCGTTGGCCCATTTGAAGCTTCACCACCAGCGTATCGGTACTGCATCACGCTCGTGGATTATTTTTCAAAGTGGCCTGAACTCCATTCTTGCTCCAACGTCACGACAAGCACGGTGACCGGTTTCCTGAGGCTCGTCTTTTCTCGGGAAGGATACCCCGACACCATTGTGTCTGACAATGGACCTCAATTTTCTTCTGCAGAATTCGAGAGCTTCCTGGCTAAGCGAGGTATTACCCATCACCTGGTTTCCGTGTATTATCCACAGGCGAACGGGCAAGTAGAACGATTTAATCGTACCTTCAAGTCGTTCTTACAGTGTGCTGCACTGGAAAAGTGTCCATTTCACTCTGCCGTTCTGGATTACTTGTGCGTGTATCGTTGTACGCCGCACGCAACGACAGAACTGTCTCCTGCGGTTCTGCTACATGGACGCAAGCCACGCAACCGGCTTCACATCATCGGCCTTTCTCCATCGCAGTTCTTGAAGAACCCATTTGAGGAGCTGCAGCGTCTGCGGTTCCGAGTGCAGCGGAGACAAGAGCACAGCGAGCGCTACACAGAGAGACGGCGAGCTGCCAAAGTTCCGACATTTGAGGTCGGCGGATGGGTGCGCGTCAGGAAGCCAGGAAAGGTAAAGAAGGGAGATCAAGCTTTTGGTCCGGTAGTGAAAATAGTGGAGCGTGTCGGCCGACGGACCTTCAAGCTTCATGACGGTCGCATCTGGGACGCCTCCAAGCTTACGGCGGCAACGGCTCCACCTGGCGCAGATACCGTTGAGAAGTCGTCGCAAGCAACGACACAGCCTTTTGAGCACCTGCCTACACAGAGAATTCTCAAAGAGACCTCTAGAAGGAAGCGTCCTCATCATGAGTGGCGGCCAAACACAGCAGGCTACTCAGTGGCAACGGCAGCAGCTAAGGCCACATACGCCTCCGCCTTTTCCACCTCCACGGGGACAAGATGAGGATGGAAACGAAGCATGCCCAGATAGACCAACCGGTCTTTTTGAATCTCGACAGGGTACCGTGACGGTACCACCAAGTTCACACCAAAGAGTGAGGTTTCCACCGGAAATTCCCGTTCCCTCAGTGAATGCTACTATTCCTCCAGTGTCAGTTTCCGTTCCCCCAGTGGAAGAGCTTCGGCGATCGACCCGACCTCGCCGACCACCTGTGTGGTTTAGAGATGTGAGTCTCTGACCCGCGGTGACAGACGTGACAGTTGTCTATATTTGTGTTTGGGGGGAAGAGAAGTTTACATATTTCTTTAACGCTTATTATCCGAAGTGAAATTATTTGCAAGAATTCTGTAAATAACTTGCCATAGTTTTGTAAATAACTTGCTGGAATTTTGTAAAAATACTTTCTGACAGTGTAATTTGAGATATTGTGTACAGGAGTATGAGTGTTCAGTGCGAATGCTTTAAAAATAGCCTAGGCCAAGTGTGTGATAATGAATGCTTAACTTGAATTTCTTTTGAATTATGATTTTGTGCATCTTTGTTGTGTATGTATAATATCTATGACTGGCTTTGTTATGTGCATCTTGTATATGGTCTTCTCTCCAAAAGGGGAGGGGGGAAAATGTTGTGTTCTGCTATTTCTCTTTCACTTCTTCTATTGATTGTCCTACATATCTCACTTTAAGGAACCTATCTTCTTTCTTCTCTTTTTTCTATGTCATATAATATCAGTTCATCACAAGGCACTGGACGAGATGGTCGTTCTTTCATAGCGGTACGCTTGCTGCTGAATTCTACACCTTCGATCGAGGACCCTATGGGAATGGACCCACCCGAGGTCCTCAGAGTCCGCAGATAGAACAGCTGTCTTTTCATCCATCATCTACTACCTCCGGTCCTCCGGGATCGGACGGTACATCTGATCCATCGTCATCGCTAGCTCCTTTTTCCCCTTCCTTCACGCCACACGAGGCCCACAAGCCAGAGGCGTGGTCTTCCAAATAAATGTTTCAATCAATCAATCAATCAGCGCTTTGCTGCATGTCAGAACCGGCCTTCACACGTGAGCGGAGCGCTACACATAGCGCTGACCTTGCGCTAAGCGCGTGGTGACGTGAGCATTCACTAGCATTGTATCATACCGTCAAAACTCTTGCTCATGGCAGACGATAAGTAGCTGACAACACGTGAGCAGTGCTACATTAGCGCTTCGCTGCATGTGAGAACCGGCCGCCTAGAGCCGTGCATTGGGAGAGTTTGGCCATACATTGGTTTGAATAGGCCAGCATCTCAGGGCCAACCACAGGCCTCAAAACAGCGCCTAGCGGTGATCATGAGCTCTAAATATGCGATTCGACTAATTAAAGCCGTTTTAGCGTTTCTCGAGTAGAAAGATATACCTCTTGGTGACTGAAAACTTGATACATGTGAGGTTTTCGTCACGTTCGTATCCAACGGTAGAATAAACGAACGTGCGCTTTAAACCAGGGCTGACTTTTTAGAAACAGCGTCTGAGCTGAGACTAGGGGAAAGAAATCACTGCCAAAGCCAGCGAACGAACTGAGCGGGACTCAAGCGCCGTCTGAAGACACTCGTGCGCCTCAGCCTTTGCACAGTTTTCTTTCAGCCAGTCTCAGCTGAGACGCTGTTCTAGCAAGCCGGCCCAGAGCCAACTGTCACCGAGACGCCGAGATTGAACGCTTCTATTTCACGCTTTAAATGTCGTTTCCAATTTTGTGACGTCGCGGTCTGCTGATTGGTCGACACTGTGCCGCGATTTTAGTTTACGCCGTAACCGCGGGGGGGGGGGGGGGGGGGGGGGGGGGGTATTCGGCGCTTTTTACTTCGCCCATTGGCCAAACTCTCCCAATATACGGCTCCGAGGCGGCCATACTTGTGGCGCCACCTCTTATGATGGACAAAAACTAACAAATACAACACACACATATAAAGTTTAACTGAGATATGTGCTATGAATTCAAGGCCGTTGAAATCCTCGGTAATATTACGGTTCTACATTATGGTCGACGAAATTTTAAGTTATTGCGAAGATTGAATGTTCATCAAACCAATGCACCAGTTATATCGGGCCCAGGAATACACAAAATACATCCCTAAGGTTCTAATTAGCACCCCATAATATTGTATTATTTTGGTCTATATTCCTTCCGGGAATTATAACAATGTCTGCAGTCTAGCTGAACTCAATTTTTATAACGTTTTACAGAGAGCCGAATGCCCCAAAAATATTCAGGATGATTTTATGACAGGAGGCAATCACTCTAGGTACTAATTATCAAGGCTATAAAGACTTACGACACATTCGTTTCCAGTCACAGCAGTTTCATGTTGTCCCTCCGGGCAAGATTTTGTACAATTTACGTACAGGAAACCATTATCCTAGAAATGTAATAATTCGTATTATTTCTAAGAAGGTAACTCTAAAAAACAGGGAAATTTCATACTTTTAACTCAACGGTAAAATATATAAAAACAAACTCTTGCACCAGGCAACGATATTTAGTGTTCATTAAATTTAAAGTTGATTTTCAACATCTAACCAAAATACTCGTAGCTTTCGTCGTGGTTCAATGTCGCTTGTCGTCCTCACCTTCGGCATTCGTTGTGATCTTCACACGGACACTGAGCAGGAGTTCGCAAAGGTTTGCCGTGACACATTTGTTTATGTATGCTCATCACTTTGATTTTTTTTTTATTTATACAACCTTTATAAAATATTCACCCACATCCTAAAAACGTTCTCTAATATTTTCATAGAAGGAGCACGGAACTATATTTCTTCTTACCTTAGCCACGGCCGGACTGGAAGCGCGCGCTCTCTTTCTCTTGAAAGAGAGTGCGAGCGTCCAGTTCGGCCGTGCCTTAGCATGGACTAACTGCGAAGGTTGTTCAAGCGCGAGTGGGTAACCCCGACTGCATTGACTGGAGCTTTGGCTGCACGAGCGCTCGTGCAGCCGCCGAGGCTTCATCCAAAGCAAATAGCTCGCGCTTAAATCGTGCGCGGCTAACAATAGTCTGTGCTAAGGTGAGGCGAAGTATAGGAAAGCCTTGACCACCAGTTTTAACGTAACTACGTCGACAATAAAACTGTTTGTTCATGCCTGCGTATTATATATGGACGTTTCTATTTTGCTCGTCATTTTTATGCGCTCTCGAGCAAATGAGATAGAACATGAAACCACGCGCTTGCCTTAACCTTGAGAGCTTTGTACCGTAGCCTCCTCTATACTCACAAAACCTGGCAGTTCGACGACGGAGCCATAGAGTGCCCGGTCGCAGATATGGAGCTCGAAGATCTGGTAGTATAGAGCATTTCACGGGGAACCTGGAAGTCAGCGCACAGCTTTTGCAGCGGCGAGGACCCGAAACATGGCTTTCAAACCCGACGATAAGAGAAGCCGTAGCGCGAGGAACGCGAGGAGCACGAGCGGACATTCCATCACTCGGGAGAAATGTGTTTCAGCGTCTCGCCGCAGCGGGGCGCCCGTTACGTGCCTCTACTCTCAATCGTTGTCTGCCGTTCTACCTTTTCACTTTCGGCGACCGCGTCTCGTGGCGACCTGCCAGGCTTTGTCAGTATAGAGGAGGCTATGGTTGTACATTATATGTATAGAGTGAAGAATAAAAGAGTCTGTTATAAAAAAATGACCACAGACACCTTATACGCGCACACGCGCACACGCGGAACTGATGTCACGCCGCTGCGGTGGCGCTGCTGTTGGCAGAGCGCAAACGCTCTACTTCACGCGGTTCCCGCGAAAGCGCAGTGCTCACACCTATGCGGAAACTGCGCGTTTGCTTTCACCTCGTGAGGGCTTGTTTGGAAACAGAGCGTTGGCTTATAGCGTCCTACGACTACTCACCATGTGATCGCAAACCAGGGACAGTCAATACGAAAGTGAACGTGGGATCACCATAAGACTATGTCACAGCTTTGTTTTCATATGGTAATGCGTTTCAAATAGGTTAATTGTAAGATTCCGCTAGTACAAAGAGAGTAAAACGGCAGCGGTCAGTTTTCCATAGGGGGAGTCTAAGAGCCTTCGACGGCTATGAACATAATTCCATAGGGCAGACTTGTGCTGATGGTAGACTAAAATTTGGTTGCCATTCGCCCTATACGATATTGTACCAGCTTAGCAACTGGCAATTCAAGTTTCATAAACTTGATAAATTAACTGCGTAATAAATTCCAACAATCTAGAAACAAAAAGTTTCGAAAATTGCATATTTCAAAAACTCTCAGCAGAGAAGGCGCATTCTAGTTGAACGCTCTTTCGCTTACTGCAAAAATTTTGGTTCGCTAAACATTTTTACATATTTATATTTGTGAAGATTAACTTTTATATTGCGTCGTTTTCAAATAACCCACATTCATTTTCAATATTTGTAGAACTAAACGCCAGGATCACAGAATTTGGCGACCTAACACGCCGGCTCCTGTGACGCAATTTGTTTCCACTTCGGGTCCGCATTCGATGCAACACATGCGTGGTACAGTCGAAGACGCATTTCATGCACGGCAACTGGTTTAAAAGGCGAAAGGAAAAAAAAAGAACGATAAAGAACAACCATGGTCGAGTGCGGCAAGGCGTCAGTCGCCCTTTCGTTGCCGTCGCAGGACCTGTGGTTTCCTTTTGTTTTATATGCAGCACCAATGTCACCTAAATTAACGTGTATTTTAAACTTTACATTTGTATCATTCTTTTTTGTGTTTAGCAATGTGTCGCAATGACACTAGTAATTCTTTTTTTCAGATGAAGTTATACACAATTTTGTAGCAAAATGTAATTGTGAAGATTAAAGCCAAAAGAACATGACCCAAATTAATAACCTTAATATAAACTCACAAAGAAAAGCAATTATATTTAAAGTTAGACATATTCTATGTATGATTATAAGCGCCATATTCTAAAGAAAAAGGAAAATACAATAAATGGATGCAATTAAAACGCGTCTGGTTAACTAATTAATGTCCTGGAGTAAGTGTGTTGTGCTCTTTGTCCAAATTGTTGAAAGCAGTGAAGTTACTAAATATTGTTAATTGTCACTACATATTTTTGTGGCAGGATAGTGGCTCGTATGAATCTTCGTAATTGCAATATTGATATCTAGTGTGAGTAACAGCACAACATTCATAAGAAATCTACATCTTTTAGAGAAAAAAGCTTTGCTAATGTTTTATATTATCAGTATACTGAACAATCGTGTTTATTATATAACAGAAATCAAATTCAAAATATTTGTGAGTATAAACTTTCACTTCCAGCGAAAGAATAAACGTATACCAACACACCTCTAGCATGAAGCGACAAACGTATATCAACACGCTCCTCACAAATATAGTAAACCTCTAAATTCTTACATGTATGGTAAACACCGTGTACAACTTTAAAAAAGAAAAAAAAAAAAAAAAACGGGGCCGCGTTTTTGCAGTGCTTTACTGCAGATTACTTCTGAATGTGACAGCATTTCGATTTTTTTTGCATAAATGCCATATTCTTATGATTAAATTGAAACGAGCATTATTCCCACGCCCGACCCTGGGTCGTAGCAAAACAAGCCCACCATGCTTTTTTGTCCAAGCCAAACAGCCAAGTCTTGTTCACTGCGTTTTTTTCTCCTTCGAAGCGTTATGAAGACCACCGGGGCACTTCCAGTAAGCGTAGCAATTTTATCTTAGACCCTTTCGAAAGTGCGCCTTCTGTTGAAAGCTTTGAAACCTTTGCACAGCAAAAACAGAAGGGCGATTTATTTGTACTCGTTGATGCCTCGGCTGCACCAGCCCTCGTGCAGGTGGAGCAAAACTTAAAAGGGTCATGAAACGATTTTCCTACTTCTTCTTTCTTTGCTTTAATCCTCAACTCATATGCGAATTGTTTAATCACGTCGTCGTGACATTCTTCGCCACCGGTGCGATGACTCCTAGCTTCCACCGTGCTTTTTATGCAAACCATAGAACTTGTCATTCCCCAGTGACGATAAGTTCCGTCAAGGCACTCATTGGTCACGAACGTGGATCCAAATATTCGTCGACGGACCCGCGGATGTATCATATTGAAAAGACGGAGAGCTTTCGAACTAAAGAAGGTACAAAATATTCCACTATATATTCAAATGTTCGTACCAAAAAGCTGGCGGTTGACTCTCTACCCTCTTTCATTTGGCCAACTAAACGATATGCGATTAGTAAAGTCCCATTTTAAGATCATTCATCCCAACCCAAAATTCGTTTCATGGCCCCTTTAAGTAATCTTATACCCGTGCCACACGGGCAACTCGAATGCCATTTACAATTAATGGAATTCGTGTGATCAACAAATTGGCTCGCGATCTGTCGCGCGTGGAACGCCCCAAGCTTGGAGTGTCGCGCGCTGATTGGCCGAACGTTCAAATTCTTTCGTTGTAAATGGCATTCGCGATGCCCGTGTGGCACGGGTATTAGGCCATTCCTTTATTCGTCGATATCACCTCCGCCTGAAAAACAAAAACTGGTTTGTTTCACCATTACATATACTCGGTTCTTAACATGGCAATAAATCATGAACTACCTGTTGTGTTTAATTACATTTTTAAGAAGACGGCCGCTATATATGCAATATTGCTTGCGAATATATGGGCGTTGGTTAAAGTGTTTTATCTTTTCTTTATATGCTTAGGAGAGGATATCACATATACATACACGTAATAGCTTTATTGCTATGCACTAGTTTTATTAGCGTGTTTTGTTAAGTAATTAAAGTGGCAGAATATGTTTGTTTTTCTTTCATAATCGCACGATATGTCGTTTATTTTTTCTTAATTTTTGTTGTAATAGATTTGCCTACTTTAAAGTTAACTCCCTGTAGTAATTGGAATATTCATTCAAGTAGTAATGTTCATCTAGTGGGACCTAATACGTACCATTTCGTTCTCAAAATAGGGTAATAACTGATAGGTGCACCCATCAGAAGATTCAGTTATCAACGATCCTTGAAGCAGGGATTCGAGTTCCTTTTCCTTTTCTTTCGCTTGTAGAGCTGGGCCAGAATCTTAAAAAGGCAAAAAACGAGTAGGATGTGATTGGATTTGCTTTTACCTATTTATAACAACCGTGAAAACTGGTCAGAAAAGCAACGCAGCGGAAATGTAGAATTTCACCTTGCTCTCCTTAAGAAACCTTGTACAACTAATTGAAATCTTGAAGAACCTCTAAAATCGGCTTTGTTTTCAAAGGAATTTGGGCTATCTAAATACACACATTGACACGCGTGTTCAATTTCAAGTAAAACACCCAGCCAGGAACGGGGAGAAATCGATTTTGCGGACCAGTTAAATGAACTCGAAGCATGTATATTTTGTTGGAGATCTCAACAGCATTTCTTACTCTTATGAACTTAGAACATCTCGTCTGTCTTCAACTTCATTGCATGTAGTTAAAGAGGGACATATCAACATTGTGCGCGTTAACGCGACTCTCAAGAGAGAGAGGATTGCGCGTTACTCGTCTTCTGCCGTCCGCTGGCCATCTTTTTTCTTTTTCGTCTCCGTTGTCTGCCACACCCGGTTCTATAAAATGATTTCTTATCATTCCTTCTGGCTTTGCAGAGAGTGCTCTATGCTTTGCAAAACGTCTATGACAGTGGGCCTTTGCCCGATTGCAGGCACCTCAGTTGAATTTTATCGCCACAAACCAGATATGCGTACGCAGTCTGCTGTCGCGCTCTACGTGCTCCGAGCCACGATGCGTTAACACACTCGATCACTGATGCCCATTTGAGTGCCGTTGAGGGTTTTATAGTTTTAATGTCAGGAGGGGGAAAGAGCTCAGAGCGTCAGGGTTCTGCAGCTTTTCAGCTTTTCCCCCACTTGGCCCTAGCCGTGGTGCGTTAACACTCTTTGCCAGCGATTTCTCATTTGAATACTGTTGTGCTTCCGTGCATATCTATATTTATGTTTTCAGCTTCTCCTTACCCCTTAAAAATCATGCAGTACAGTAACACATGACTTCTTGTAGTAATTTATAAATACTGGGAACATATGAGCTTGATTGACATCATTATCATTACCATGAAAACTTAAATTGGCTTAAAAGTTATCTGATAATTCAAACATACATATCAGATAAAATCACCATTCAGCTGTGAACTAATTGTAATGTAGAAAACCCGAGACTGTGATAAAAGCAAGGAAACGGAGTCGAAGAAGAAAGACAGGGGAAACGAACGTCTCAAACTCAGCTACTGCGTTTATTTCCTCAACGCAGTAGCTGAGTTTGAGACGTTCTTTTCCCCTCTCTTTCTTCTTCGACTCCGTTTCCTTGCTTTTACCGCAGTCTCAGGTTTTCTACAGTATGATCAACATCCACCAGCTCGCCTGCGCACTCACAGTTTTTTTCATTTGTAACTAATTGTGTTTTATCATGTACACTTCCATTGTACTAGCTGTTTCTTTTGTAGTTACTTGTTCTCAATCTATTGGATATATATAAAAGAAACATATTGAGAGTCCAAATAACTTGTCAACTTGTATTTGTTCGGATCGCAATAGTCTAATGTATTTTCATTAATTTACCGGCTGTTCTGTATATTTCACAACCTGTAAGCCTTTTCACAGCAATGCCATGGACACAACATTGCAGAACATACTAGGTCCACAAAGTCAGGCAAACACAGAAGTTAAGACTTGCAACTAAAGAAGAGTGTATACTAAGCAGCGAAGATCAGGATGAACTCTGACCCATGAGTAAAATAATAAGTAATAAATATAGACTCCGAAGCATTCAAAGTATGTTTAGCATCTGTCGACATGAAACGAAAAATTGACCAGGTGTTAAAGCTGAATTAAAACTATCAAAATGGAAGCATTTTAGAGCTAAGACTATTTTTCTGTTTCTCACTAGCTACCGTGTATTGCCGCGTAAAGATCGAGTCTGAATATAAGCCTTAATATCCCCAAATTCTGACCCATAAAAAAATGTTGATAATTTTTTTCATATTTATTTTTGGTTGACTTATAGGTGCAATATACAATATTTGGAATGTTGCCTACACACCCAAAGGCTGCCCTCATAAAACTAAAGTACTCGAGGTCCATGTGTGGGATGCTTGAAAAATTAATTAAATGAATAATTGATTAACCCACACAACCTCCAACAAGTCCCGACACAGAGCCAACGTTGCTATACCGTGTGGGTTGCCTAAGTAACCAACCCAACCACACGCACCCCCACAGGGTCATGGTTCTATCCTCACAATGTGTGTAGGTTACCTAAAGCAACCCGCACAAACTCCCACATGTCCCATACACCCACAGTCCTCTCCCCGCAGGGTGCGTGGGTCACCTATAGACCCTTTCTTCAAGGGTGCCGCCATCTTGAAATGTCGTCACTTCCAGTATGGGCGAAAACATTGTTTTGCCATCGCCACGGCAGTGGAAGACACTTTGTATATAATCGTAAACGTCACACATTATCGTTTCGCCTCCCCCTTATTTTTTTTAGTAGTTACAGGTTGAAACGTTTTAGTATTTCTTCGTCGCCCATACCGGGTACGCCTATTAGGTAGGTGAGGACGAGAGTACACATAAAGGATCTATAGCAACCCGCGAAACCTTCATACAGGGCTCTATAATACCTGTATGTTTGTGTGGGTATCGTAATATCTCTGTGGGGAGAGAACTGTGGGTAGCACAGCCACAGTTCTCTCCCTACAGAGATATTGCGATCATACCTCGGCAAACCTCACTCATGAGGGCCCTCACTCACCCTCACTCACCCTCATCTTCACAGGTGAGGTGAGGGTGAGTGAGTTTCTGAACCAGGAAAATTCATGAGTGTAAGGGTGAGTGAGGGTGAGTGAGTGCCGTGAGGGCGGTGAGGGCGGTGAGGGCGGTGAGGGCTTTGAGGGCGGTGAGGGCCGTGAGGGCGGTGAGGGCCGTGAGGGCGGTGAGGGCCGTGAGGGCCGTGAGGGCGGTGAGGGCCGTGGGGGCCGTGAGGGCCATGAGGGCCATGAGGGTGGTGAGGGCGGTAAGGCGTATGAGGGCCATGAGTGCGTGAGGGGCGTGAGGGCGGTGAGTGTCGTGAGGGCCATGAGTGCGTGAGTGGTGTGAGGGCGGTGAGTGCGTGAGGGGTGTGAGGGCCATGAGTGCGTGAGGGCAGTGACATGAGAGGCGTGAGGGCCATGAGGGCCGTGAGGGCGGTGAGTGCATGAGGTGGTGTGAGGGCCATGAGTGCGTGAGGGCGGTGAGTGCGTGAGGCGCCCTTCATAACGAGCATCTTTCTCAGCAATTTTGGTGTTAATGGCGGGTTGTTCTCTAGCTTTCCCTAGATCGACACGAATTGCTGAGATCGGGTCCGGCTCGAAATAAGCAAGCAATTCGGAGCAATTCGAATACGTTTGACGCGGCTGCATTCAATCAGGGACGCAAAATTTTCACGTGATACCTCGTGCCGGTGATGATGACACCGAAAGACTTGGTTCTGGTTTGAAATCGATCGTTTTTGTTTTTTTTGGAAATAAACTGTTTCAGAAATGTGCATTAGTATTCTTAACGAGATGTAAATGCATAAAAACACGTTTATAACGCGTAATTGTGTCTAAATAGTGCAAGCAAAATAAAATTTTATGATGACGATGGCAAATTGCAGCAATTGGTTGCTGCGTGTGATCGCAAGCGGCCCGTGTTGCTGGTGTTGCGACGTAAAGTTTCTGGGCAAAATTGCCCCATCTGAAGCTGGCCTGAGTGGCGTGAGGGCCATGAGTGCGTGAGGGGCGTGAGGGCCGTGAGGGCGGTGAGGGCCGTGGGGGCGGTAAGTGGCGTGAGGGCGGTGAGTAGCGTGAGGGCCATGAGTGAGTGAGGGGCGTGAGGGCCGTGAGGGTGGTGAGGGCCGTGAGGTTCAGTGAGGGTGAGTGAAGGGCTGAAGGTGAGTGTGACTGTGAGGGTGAGGATGAGTGAGGGCTGAAGGTGAGTGTAGCTTTGAGGGTGAAGGTGAGTGAGGGGCTTAGGTGAGTGTGGCTGTGAGGGTGAGGGTGAGTGAGGGCGACCTAAAATTCCAACCTCTGATTGCGATAGCCACACAAATATAGAGGTCCTATACAGCCCTGTATCATCCCACAAGAATTATCTGTTTCTGCTCTATGGGCATTTGGACCATGGGAACCTTTGATTCCTTTCACCAACTCCGCGAAGCAGTCGAGAAATTCGTTTGAATCTGACGGCTGCTACCAAGACATTGATTGAGCTGAGCAGCAAAAGCAAACAAATATTAATTATGAATAACATTGAACATGCAAGCGAGTTTGTGAAGTTAATTCAAGGGTGCAATCGAGCTGGTTAAGGACTGACATTTTTAACCCTAGAGAGTGTGGAAATAGAAGGACAAGACAACAATTCTACGTATTTGAATATTCGTGTTGTCTTGTCTGTTTACCCACTCTCCAGAATTATAAATGTGAGTTGGTGACTTTCAACATATTTTGAACCCGGGTTTCTAAGACGTCGAAATATTATAACTAACATAATTCGGTTAGGAATGTGTTAAAATGGATCTAACAGTCCAGTTTATAGCGTCCTGTTTGTGCTGTTGTCAGAGGGGGCTTTTATATAGGAGGGATTTCATTTCATTTCTTGTGGATTTGAAGATTTATGGAAATTACCATTGCGTTTTATAATATTGATTAGCATCACAAAGACCGGCGCGCACGGTAAGAGTGAAATCAGCCAGAGAAAGCTGTTTTGTTGGGCCGTGGACTTTGGGTTGGAAGCGTCACTAAAGGCAATTTCAAGACGACAAAGTAGACCTGTACTTTGTGGTGGTCCCATATATACATGGGGTTACCCACAAGTTAAAAAAGATCGCCAGGCGACAAGACGTGCAAGTTGTGTGCTCGGCACCCAACAAAGCGTATTCAATGTGCCGGAAGATCAACCAGTCATCGACCAACCAGATCAGTCAATGTAACACCAGGCACAAGACACAATTCGCCTCGTGCGAAAAAGAGGTTGTTTACAGCATACCACTGACATGTGGGCGCTGCTACATTGGGCAAAC